CAGTGTTGCGTGTCGCCAATCTTGCCTGTGTCCATCACCCAAAGTCTGTTGCATTCATCTATCTGAAATTGTGTACATTTGAAGTTTAATTATTGATTATCATGGATATATTCGTTTTATTTTTCGTGAAATTACCCCACTAGTTTGTTATAATTATTAATAGAAAGATCGGCTATAATACGTTAAATTCAGTCATTCATAAACTGATTTTTAAATTTGTAACTTAAATTTGTAATGCTGAAAGCATTTAATTTCAAATTTTGGATTGTATTTTACTTTTGATTTAATGATATTATAGTCTAGATTTTGATTTTATAATTTTTATTTATTCATAATTTTTATTTTATCAGTTCATAATTGTTTGATTTTAAAAATTTTAGTGACGTGTGGTAAACTCTAACACTAGTTTTAAGTACTTTTACTAACAAATATTATGGATGGAGAATGTCTGAAATAAATAAATTATTATTATTATAAAAGCCGAAACACTTAGAGAAATTTGCGAGATCTGCCAAGTAGATCTCTAGCTCGGTTGGTAAAGCGGTGGTCCTAATTTCAACAGACCGGTTCGATTCTTGTCAGACGAAGGAATTTTTCTTTGTAATCTACCTTTGTATTAATAATTAGATGCTGAGAAGCCATATGCGTGTCAACCTTACACTATGGAAACCAAAGGACATGTTATGTTGACATATATAAATCAGAGGTTATATGTATATGATGTATTTCGACATTGAAAACATAAACATGTTATTGTCTTTGTTTAACTACTGCGTGCCGTCGTAAGCCAAATGAGATAGCATTACATTGGTCTGTGCCAAAGACGGGAATCGAAAATATGTAACGTCATCTTAAATGCCAACTGTGTTCATTTCGCAGTACATGAGGTACATGATACGGTTGTCAAAGGGAAGTACATCAAATGTCAAAACAAATGTTTTTCCAAGTGTTTTATTGAATTATTTGTACGGATAATAATAAAATGGACAAAAATATTGACAGCGAGAAAAGATAGGTATTAATAAAAACGCGTCGCTGCAGCATTAAGGAATGTGGCATTAGCAAAAGCGAAAATCAACCGAATGAAACATTACACAGGCATGGTTGTTTTTTTGTGTACACAATACCCAATACCCCAAATATCTCATGTAATTAGACTTATTTAAGTAGTTTATTCATAAATCTTGGCAAATTTTGCTTTAGTTACTTCAGGTTGCCTACTTGTTTGTATATTTTGATGATTGTTGTTAAAGATTCTTACACTAGCGTCATAGTACATTTATGAAAACGTAATTTATGTTAAGAGAAATAGTAATTTCTTTATGAAAAATAGTGACAGACATAACATTAATACGAGGAATTAAAATAAACTAACTGTTCTTGATAGTCGTCTTCATAAAGTCACAAATTCTTTTAAGGGCAATGTATACGCTTCTATAACTAGATTCCGGTTGATATACAAAATTGGCCATTCACAAGTTTTAAAACTATAGTGAATACTTAGCTCATAGAGGTAGTCACGATCTCTGTTGTTTGAAAGAAAAAAAACATTGTAAATGTTGAATGTGTTTTGTGTTATTTACAAAGAGCAACCCCTAGAGTTTCTTGCTCATTTTTATCAGGGGAATCTGCCTTTCGAATGAGCGGTAGCGTTTAACCAAATTGACGATTTCAAGTCTAATAATGCTTACCCGTGAAATAAAGATTATTTTGGTTTTGGTTTTTGATTTTGAAATCCCATGTGCCTGTATTTTTTACAACCATTTACTTTTTTTATATATGGCCGTTATTTCACCAAATACACTAATTAAATTTAAATTAAATGTTTACGTTTATATAGTTTAAAAAAGAATTGCTGATTTGGTGACAGCCCTGGTATTTAACTTTAATTTTGTAATGGCCTTTTATTTTGCTACTATAACTTAGAACAAGTGTGCTGAGAACAGATCAATTAACTTTGGTAACACAGTTTAGTTTATGGTTATAAGGTTATGGACTGTACACAAGAAACGTCAACACAGTATCTATGTTATGTATTATTGTTATGTTTAGGTACATTAAGTTAGGTAAATAATGTAGTGGTGGGCCGAATATTCGTTTTTATATTAAAAATGCTGTACTTTCTGCCGAATATAGTTCTACAAAAAATGAAACATTTACCTACCTAACTTATTAGCCTATGAAATATTGTACAAAGATTTTATAAAGAATACTTCGTTACATGTCTAGATAAAATAAAAGTAATATTATTATATTACCATAAATAATTTATTTAAAAGAGACTCAACACAATCAGTTCTTGAAAAAATAAAAATCCTTTTAATTACAAAAAAATGAGCAAGCCTTAGAAAGAATCGCACTCTTCTTTGAGCGGGAGAGTCGCATGCTCTTCACACACTTTCAATTATTGTTTTATAATCCAGAAACAATCGCATCAAGTCCTCCGAATTATTCGGCCGAATATTTGGTTCTATAAACTTTTTATCGAACATTCTGCCAATAATCGACATCGTTAAAATCCCGATTCTTCCCATCACTTATAATAATAAAGCCTTGATCCAATTTACTACGTTAATGTCAAGACTTCTAGATAAGCTATTGCTTTTATTGCTCAAAAACAAGAAGTATGTTACTAATAAACAATTTAGATTGCTAGATATGGCCCCTTCAAAAAACGAGCATTCGTCACAATTACAACGTATCTTCATAGATAGATTGATTGTTTAGTAGCAGTAGAATTCCGTAGTTTGCCACCCTTAGAGGCATGATGGTTTTAAATAGGCATTTATATTTTCTTCAAATTTAAATGGGACCATTACCAAGGCATCTTCTTTCCAACAAAAAAATCATTAACATCGGTACACAAATACCTGTGATTAGTTATGTCTAACACACATATAAAAAAGCAGTCGAATTGAGAACCTCCTCTTTTTCAAAAGTCGGTTAAAAAAGTTATTTGTGTTTTACATGTTCGAGGTCACTTACCGCAGTCCTAAATACTGAAGTTATTCCTTCGCAGTTCTGGCCTTGATTTTCGTGCCAGGAGTAGTGAGGGTATCCAGAGATATAGCCCATCTCATCCACTGTGCCCAGAGTCACGGGCCGACCTTCGTCGAAGCGAGGTATCGTTATGAATATTCGTGACGGTAAAATGCCTGAAATTGAACACAGTGTTTAGTCGACAAAGTAACTAACAAGACACCAATTTATACTACATAGTTTACAGTGGTTGTTCTTGATTTGTTGTCTTCAGAAATTCACAAATTCATTTAAGAAATATGGCTTCTACAATAAGTTTACGGTTGATATTTAAAATTTACCATTTACGACGTTTAGGTTTATAGAGAAACAAAAAACTTTACATTATACAGGTCCCGCGTACTTGGATGACAAAAATCTGTGGTAATGACCCGTTTAGCTATTAAATATGTACAAATGTATATACAAATAGATCAACCCCTAGAGTTTCTTGGTCATTCTTTTCAGGGGAATCTATCTTACACCTTTACTGACATAGGTCTTTCGCCTTTTCAACACGCATTAATGCATTCATACATGCTTAATTTAATTAATAATGAATGTGCCTGACAATCTTAACAATAATCTCTTAATCATAAAATAAGGAACTACCCAGTACAAACCACTAATTAAAATCCTAAATTGGTCGTATCTAAGACCGAATCTGGGACTTCCTCATCTAACGTTACAATGCTAACCGCGATTTCGTTTTAAACTGCCAATGTAGTATCTGTGTAGATTTTCACAATCGGTACAACAGCATTAAAAATGATGACCTCGGCGACCCATGCAGCTATTTGCTCTATGGGTGCTAGATGAGGACTTAAATATAGAATTACGGCATCCCCTACCTGTCGTACAAAGCGACTATAGGGGACTTGGGAGTTGCGGCCCAAAATGAGGGCTCTGTTCGTCCATATACACATTTCAGCAATTTCGGGAAGACACAGCTCATAAGATGGTATTATGAAGCGTGTGATTCCGGCAGGGGTGGAAAGGGATGCAAGCCCGGGAAGGCACTGCAAGTACGACGTGTATGGGAAGTATCTGTTGCAACATGTATTGGGCATGGCCAGCGAAGGGCTTTTAGTGGGTATCCCATCCATCCATCCCAAATCCCATATAACCTCCGATTTCCCCCTCAGAATGTCGTGTAGCTTTTGAAGATTTCCCCTACCACTAAAAAAATGTAAGGTAGTCCCGAGCTCAATTGCTGGACTGATCAATTAGGGAAACGAATTTTTACAAATTGGATCTTCTAAGTCTACGCATTCTGGATAGTATGCCGAAGCTAATTTTATTGCTCTGGTACTCATAGCACAGGTAGTTCTCTAGTTTGAGGCCTTTTCTGGCTCCAAAAATAAAAAAATACACAGTAATTTTCAAGTTCTTTTTAATTTGACTCGAAAGTCACGATATTTCACCATAACATTCAATTATTTTTGTGAAATTACAACACTAGTTTGTTGTAATTATTAATACAAAGATCGAACACTAAGAAAAAAATTCTTCGATCTCTGCTGGACGCTATGCCAACTAAGCTATGAAACGAACAAACGATCTTACAAACTTTTATATGTGCTTGTTGCAGATTTTTGTTCTTGGTTTTTAACATTATTACACTATATAGATTTTAAGACTTTCGTGGTTACTCACTAAATGATTATCACTAGTATCAGGTTTCTTACCACGGTATGACTTCTTTTTATTTTCCCGATATTTCGGAACGGATGGAAGAGGTATGTTGATGACGTATTTTGCATAATGGAAGGAAAGGAGCAACATATACAAAATTATTTAACACGTCTTAATAATACCCATAACAAAATGAAGTTCACTTGTGAAATTGAGAAAAATCGCGCGCTTTCATTTTACATGCCACTTCACATCATCACCCAAAACGCCTACATTCGGTCGTCAGGTCATTAACCAATAGAGCTTATGATCTTTGTGATTCACACCACCTACCACAGGAACAGGAGCACGTTAAGACGGTTTTGCGACAGAATGGATACAAAATAAAAACATTTAAACCAATACACAAAAGGAAGAAGCAAATTGACGTACAGAGACTACCAGTTTTTCTGCCCTATGTACAAGGGGTGACAGATAAAATAGCCAGGTCGCTAAGGAAGTTTTCCATAAAAACTGTTTTCACCCCCTTAACCAAAATAGGAAAAATGTTTCGTTCACCAAAAGACCACCTTCCTTTACAAACACCGGGTGTCTTCTATAAAGTGAACTGCAGTTGTGGGAGCTCGTATATCGGTCAGACTAAACGAACAATTGTCGATCGTATGAAGGACACATCCGAGCAGTAAAAAACAATGATCCACAGAAGTCGGCTATAGCACAACATCTCACAAAGACTGACACTAACCACTGGATCGAGTTGCATAGCCCCCAGGTACTCTCGACAGAACGTCACTATATACCACGGTTGGTACGAGAAGCCATCGAGATCACGAAGTACAAAACATTTAACTTCTGATGATGGTTTTAAACTGTCCAGTGCATGGAATCCGGTCCTTAGTGCGTGCAGTAATAAAAACAAAAACACCTCGAGTTCAGTTTCGCGTGTGGATACAGTGAGTGTGGTTTGTGTGAAAAAAGTGAGTGACAATGGTAACGCCACAACAAATCGCGATGAAGGTAGTCGTCGACAGCGCAAGAGGGTAGACAGATATGTCTGCTCATAAAGCTGTCATCTGCCGCCGTCCAGTCAACCCGTGACCATGGAGCGTGCAACCGTTCCGAAATATCGGGAAAATAAAAAGAAGTCATACCGTGGTAAGAAACCTGATACTAGTGATAATTATTACACTGATTGAACTGTCCGTTTGTGACTATTGTTTCAAGTGTGAATAAAAGCACTCAGACGGTAAAATGTCATACGAATGACATTTTACCGCATACCAATACGCAGAATCCACATTAATTTTGAGATTCGCAGGATGTTCGAGAGAGGTGAAGGTAACCCTCTTCAGAACGTACTGTACCTCCCTCTAGACAAGCGGTCTGTTGCTAGAGTATACGAACAGGGCTTACAGGACCCTACGGACTCAATATAATAACTCGTTGCGAGTGTTGATGGGCCCCCTTTCTGCAGCGCATCAGGGATGTTTAAGAGACGCGCGTTCCTTGTGCGCTGTGTGCGGGCTAGCCCCAACTCTCCTCTCTATGCATAAGCGATGAATGCCCTATAGGGGCATTATTTCATACATCATTAGACAGTGTTTTGGGCTACAGTGTCAAAATGTATAATTATTTTTTTTACTAACAATAGAATAAGTGCACATAATTGCAGATAGGACACACACTTTGCAGTCTATTGGTACTTGAAATAAATGTATTATTATTAAACTTTTAATATAAACAACTGCCTCCGTGGCCGTACGGTTGCCACGCCGGACTGCCACGCAGAGGTCCCAGGTTCGATTCCCGGGCCGGGAGAAATATTTGTATGGCCTACATTTATTTCTCTCGTGAGTTTGGGTGTAATTTATGATGGTCTATGTGTGTGTGTCCATGTCACCCGCGACACAAGGTTTCCCTAGTGCGGGGCTATGTTGAGTGTGTAAGTTTTACATTTTTTATACATTTTACATAAATAATACCCACTTATTTCTAATACTATTTAAATAAATTTTGCAGCAACCGCCTGTTCGGACGTTTCTATCCAGAGTGCCCCATAGACTGAGTGCCCGCCCGTGCTCCGTTCCACAATGCTTGGTAATTCAAAGATTTACCTACTTGTATCCCACTGTGTCGGTGTCAAGTGAAGCTCAAGCGTTATAGGTTCAAGCGTTATTTTATCAACACACAATAGAATTAAAAATATTCATGAACATACAAAAATTTTATTTTCATCAAATTCACACACGAACCCATGTTCTATTAAATATTAAATAAAATATAAGACAACATGACATACGTTGCTCTGCTCATCGCAAAATAAGTAACTAAAGCATTTGTGTTATAGAAATCGGAAACAACGAAGGTAACACAAACGCCCATACCTATAATCCTATAACCTAGAAAAGTCAGTTTTTTCTACAGTGACGCGGCTCTAACCCGGGACCTCAGAGATGACGACACTCGACTACGGACGTCCTCATGTAATATAAATTCTAGTAGTATTTTTTTATGGTACCAAGCCACCATGATATCGTCATATAAATTTTAGAAACAATAATAACAGTACATTAAGTTTTTCAAAATTTTATTCAGTTTATTTAAATATACTTCCCTTTAACGCAACTACCGTAAACAAATTTCCTAACACCTTGATACAAGAGTTCATTGAGACTGTAAATGGACCAATCATATCGCACTTTGAACTATTACAATCATGCCAGGCAGCAGTTCGATTTATGAAACAGATTATTCGGGTTGCAATGAAATTAGAATTCAATTTGCTTATTATCCACTTTTTCCTTCCTCGTCGAGACGAATTAAAAATTCTCACTTCAATTGTGTTGGACAATCGCAAAATAATTACTCATTATCTGATTGTAGTGTTCAATATTATTGTGATTAGCTTTTTGTTAGAATTAATTATAAGTACACTGTTGGACACAACCTTGCATTTTTATTTGAAATCTTTCACGGACTGTGTTTACCGTATGTTATTAACAATGTTTTCCGTAAAATTAAATATGATAGTACGGGGTACTTCGTTTCTTTAGACGGATCTCAAGTGCGATTTCCGCTTTTTTTTTTAAGATGCTATGTTATTTACAGGAAAACAATCCTTATGATTGAGATTTTTGATCAGTATAGTAAAATTATCAGTGTTTTTTTGTTCACGTTTAAAAATCTTTGAATGCAGCAAGGATTGTTTTTTTTTAAAGTCTTCTTTTAGTAAAATTTTCTATTGTTTTAAAATTATATATGATTTTGTTTATAGAAGGATATAGTTAGTCATGTTACATAATCTACACATGTTTATTTATGTACCCCTGTTAATTATTCTGTACCTAGCTCTCCGGTTGACTGGTAGAGAATGCCTAACGGTATTAAATTCGCCATTTGCACTATTTGGTGTGCAATAAAATTTAAATAAATAAATAAATATCACGATGGTTTTACTACAGTGAGATTAACATATTTTTTTGTAAGAATACTCCATTAGTTT